CGGGATAACAAATGTTACTAAGGTTATATACCTTAAATTTTGTTATCTCATATAACAGACATTAAGTTTTACAAAATAAAAAATAAGTTAATAGAGTTTAGGATTTTAATTTTGGTTCATAACATACATACATGTTATTTTTATCAATAATCGCAGAGTAATATAATATTAAGAAAAAATTTGAAGAACCTGTATTGGCTCAGATTATTTTATAACATTACTTTCGGTTCAAAAGACTCTAAAAAAAATCTACATACATCTACATTTCAACTGTCCGTTGACAAGTTACAATACTCAACAGTGTAGATATATACTTATATGGTTATAAATCTTTAAAAATTATGAGTAAATTTTTCTAATGACTTATAATGAGAAAGTATGTGGAGAGGTTGGTGAAGGATTAACTTGGATTATAAAAAGAATAAATAAATATAGATATGGAAAAGTGGTGGTTCACTTATGAATTAAAAAGAGTACGTACATACATTCGGTTCACCTCCCCCGGAACCGATAAGTTTACATCAGAGATCGGCTTAACCACTCATTTATTTCTTCTTGTAATGGATGTATTAACATCCGATATTCAGGAGAAAGTAACTTAGCTTAAGGTATTAGATGACGATAGTCTACTTATCGGCGAAGAGGAGTTTGAGCTATAAAAGAGATTGGTAAAATGTAGGAGTAAGTGGTGAGCATCTGGAAAAAGATCAGCCAGATCAAAATGAAGCAAATGTGCTGTGATTTTGGCGGTCACGTCCAGTTTGACTCCAATTGCTTTTTATGGCGTATCCTTGCCAGTTAGCTCCTAATTTAAGTATCGTGCAATTGCAATCTTACAAAATTAAAAGGCTTGATGGGTATGTAAGTGATAGGTTTCTAGGATGAATTTTCATCGAGGGCATGAAGGCATAAGAAACTGAGGGGTTATGTGAAAAGAAGTACCCCGAGAAGACATGGATGAATTATTATGTAAAAAGAAATATACGTGAAAAAGAACTGAGTGCAGAGATAACGGAGCGGAGAAGGAAACCGTCTTGTTCCGATTCCAAGTAGTGGGAGATTAGAACCAGAAGATAAGGACGATGATGTATATTACTGTTATAAATTGGTATGAAAATTAGGGAAAAACTTTGTTATGCTGTCTATTTCTGTTTGTTACTTTATGAAGTTCCTTACAAATGAAAATTGTTTCCTATATCATGTACATATTTGTTACACTTGCATACAGATGAGTTGCCTTTGAATGAAATGAATGTCTTGAGATAATATAATTCGATGGGTACATTAAAGACGGTGGAAACACTTTAGTTTTATGAGGGAAATAAATCGGTAACTGGTTATGTGCATATGTTTGTAGTTCTTTATTCTCATAGTTTAAGATATGAGAAATACCCCATGCCTTGTGCATTACGCTTTTGTTACAACGAAATTCTAATTATTATTTTTATTATATTTAGATACATTTTGGATCACTCTTTGTGAAAAAAAAAGATCTTTTTCTATTATTTTTCAATAATTTAATTTATGAGATAGTTAGTGGTAATATGCATTATATTTTAGTATAATTTATAATTAACTTCATTAATAAGAAAGGATTCCTTTTCTTAAAAACCTATTGTTAAGTTTTACTTTGTTGTGACGACAAAAGTGCAACACGAATTCTATCCGAATCCTTTGTCAAACGTCATTCCACTTTGGCGATTGTGTTACATTACGTGATTGAGTTTTGTGAGACTGCCGTTTTTGGCTCTTGCACTTATTTATATTAGCTGTCTTATTGGCCTATAGTTATGGTTTTAAAACAGTAATCATTATAAAATATTTTCTACATTCGAAGATGGAAGATTCTGGTTGTTAGCTTTTAGAGTATTTACTTAATTTTCTCAGTGCAGTGAGTGATTCGAAAGAGCGTCGTCTTAGGACGTCTACTATCCCCGATGACTTCACATCTTATCTTCAAACACACTTTAGAATTGTTAAAATAATAAACCTAATACTGTTATAAATAAACGGTTATTTTTGATACGTTAACGGTAACGGTTATACTTTGCTCCCTGACAGAATATGAAAATTTTCTTTAAAGATAAAAGATTTATTTCCAAAATGTTTCATAAATAAAATAATCAATTCGTTGCAATTTCAACAAATTAGTTTCTTTGCAAAAACTATAAAACATTTTTAAGTTTCACTTTAAGTAACTATTACCAGACTGCACTACTTCGAAAGATGTGAAACTACATCTTCTTAAACAATCTGCATATTTTAAAACTTTCTGCCAAGCTGGGCAAGTAAAATCTGTATCCAAAAAATATTATTAGGACTTTACGAATGAAGAGGAAGAATTTCTTATTGCTCGATTCATTAGCGCAGTTCTATAACTAGTCAAAATAGAATCACGAATCATTACAGTCTATTCATGAGCCGGACAAGCAAATACAGGATACTGACTATTCAAATTATTAGAAAGCTTCGTATCCCTTCGTAGTTTCGATGGACATTGTACATGTTTTCAATAATAACATCTCTTTACTACCTTAGAAATTTATAAATGGAAAGTTAATACATATGAAAACTATTTGTAAGAAATGCTTTGAGGTAAGATGATATTGTCAAATATTTTTTTAATATACGTGGCTAAAAATCGCACATGAGTTGTAAGCAAATTATGTTGACATTCTTTTCAATATTTTTTCCTTTGTAACTCGCTACAGGTTTTTGGTAGTTTTTTTTTATTTTGTCTTTTATGACAATATCTGCGTACATGTCGTTTTTTTTATAAAACACAAACTTTTACTTGTTTTTATTTAGTGTCTCTTATTTTTTATTATATTAACCACCATAGTTAATAGCTTTCTAAATTACATATTCAAAATGAAAAAGTCTTTAGAATATTTGATGATAAACTAAGTTAAAGTTAATGGTATACTCCTTTATATGTATTATCATTGTGATTGATAGTTCTGTTATGTGGAGAAGACTTGTTAATTTAAATAACACACTAAAGAATGTAGTTAAATATTTAATGTATCCATTAATCTAAATCTTTAAAATTATTTGTTACTCTAATAAGAATTTGTAACGTTAGGTTCTGACAACCAAAACTAGTTGCCTTTATCCAAATTGAAATAGAAAAGAACTCCTCAGTTTAAGTTCTAAGTTTCCAATTGCTCTAATGAGTAAAACATTTTCAGGTACAGAAAGGAGTAAAATTAAACTTGCTTAAGAAACAAGTCGATTATATCTTAAGCAAAGTCCATTTCAATAAAATTAAAATTTAATCACAACCATAAAAAAAATCTCAGTGAAGTAGATTTATTTAATTCTGTTTTTTTTATATAATTTAAATGTAAGTATAAAACTATTAACTATAGACAAATAATATCTTTTAATGACGTGTTCGTAAAAGAAATATCCAACTTGCAAATAAGGAGAGTATTGTCATTACAGTTCACAATACGACTTTTTTTTAAATCGAGTTACTTAATTGATTAAAAATTCCAAAATTTTAGAGTTAATCAATATTGAAATAACTTAAATTACCGTGATAATTTTCTTTTCGACAACTACGTTACTTGATCGCGATATGTCATTCATTAAAACTGCAGGTACTTAATATTTAAATGATTCATAAAATAAAATTCGTTGCATTTACATAACAAGCCAAACCTTTAAAGTACTGGGTAATACTTGATGAATTTCTTAAATATTGGGTAACGATTTGTAAAACGACTGATAAGCTTATGGCGATTTTATCAGCTTAAATAATAAATTACTAGCGTTGGCCATAATATTTGTACGAGTTGTTATAGTTTTTTTGGTGTTGAAGATGTTTCCATTATTCTAGGGGTATTAATCTTTCTTTTATTTTAAAAGAATTTCTTTTGTCTTTCGTTTCTTCATTTTAAATAAAACTGCAATGAAGACTGATTTAAGAAAGTTGAGTTTTTTGCTGCGTAAAATTGTACTTTTTCACGTATACTATATTCTCTACAAAAATTAAGAAATATGTTAAAGGTCAAGGAATTGTAAGGTGAGAACGATTATCCTTAGATCAATGTCTTACGTATTTTAAACTTGTTTCAAGACTTGTGTAGCCATACCTAAAGACCGGGAAGAGGCGTTAGATTATGTGACATTGTAGGCCAGAAGAGGTCCATTGCCTTTCTTCCGACTTTATTCAAATAACAACTTCACCGAGATTAGTACTGGCATGAATAGATCGCTTCCGACATCTCAGATTAAGTTCTTACATACACGACAGTCGTCCATTGAGTATTAGGCGGAATTCTAATTGAAAAAGGAGTAGGTTTAGTATAGCAATCAAAAAACACCTAAGTGACTCAAATGCTCATCAAACATGTGTGTTTCGGTGAATATCATTGCTTATCTATTTGTAACACAGCCTGGCCATGAAGTTAAGCCGAGGATTATATAGGATCGTTGCTCATCCGTCAATCTCATGTCTGTCCACTCCTTTCATGATCGTTCTTAGAAGTGCCCTGGGCCCTTGAGAAAAACCTGTCTGCAACTCTTCCTCGGCACTTAAAAATTCCATTCGTAGAGAACAACAGAACATTTTTATTATTTTGGATATTTGTTAGCAATTAACGATTTTAACCATCTCAATTGTACATGTAAAATCACCTCATTGAATTTCCTTTATATAATCAAATTAATTTAAAATTTTAAAGTATACATCTTACTGAGAACATAGTAATGAAATATAAACTCATTATTATTGTTATTCTACTATAGCAGATTTATTTTTATACCAATCTATAAGTTGTACTTTTTGCACGGTTACTTTAGTGCACAGGTTATTCACTTTGATATTTTATTCATGTTGACTTTAATCCTTACTTCAATTGAACCTTGCAAAATAAATAATATGAGAGTTCTTTTTGTGATGTTTCGATTTAATAAAAATGTTATTCAATTATTAGCATTATATTATTAAGTTCTCGACAATATGTATTTTAAAAAGTCTCATTTTGTTTCAGGGACCTGCGCTTCAACCGGATCTTCGATATCGCTCCAGGAATTTTTAGCCATCTCCACCGGCTGAGATCTTTGCTTCTGAATGATAACCAGTTGAGAGAATTACGCTCTGGCGCATTTCATGGTCTTCGACGTCTGAGATATCTCTACTTATACCGCAATCATATAAAACATATAGCTTCCGATGTCTTCCACGGCATGTCTCATTTGGAACAGCTGTGAGTATATTTTGTTATTAAAATAAATACATAAGCATTTAACTTTTAATATAATTCATATTTTCCAAGAGACTAATTGCGATCATAGTAAATATTGGCAATCAATGCAATAAAAGCAACAAGCTACTGTTATTATCACGGATAAGTTGTGTCTGGGTGACTGAACAAAGAGAAGCCATTCGAGTTTTCTCTTTCATTTTAGTATTACCTGCTGTTGAGTCGTTTTAAACAATCTTTTGCATTGTCAAGCACATATTTACATATTTTATGCATTTTATATTTTTGTATGAATTTTAGCTCGTTTAATAAGTAGTATGGATAAGGCAGCACACTTTTAAGATATCTTATTCAGACTTAATAGTTTAAAAATGTATGAAATTCTCTTTATGAAAGAAATGATTATATTTCTGTCTAGGTAGCAATGTCTGTCTGAATACAATTTTGTACATTATACTTTATAAAGGTATATATTTTTTATATTGGAAAAAGACTTTTGCTAATAAGTTTAATATGGACTACGAATAAAACTATTATTTAATACAAATATGCTTCATTGTAAAAGCTTTATAAATATTGAATATGATTTTATAGAAGTTTATCTCTCCTGAGTTATAAATTTTATTAAAATTAATACTATAGAATAGGCTTTCAGTTTATACACTCCTTCGAGCCCATGTAATGAACGAGAAATAAATAGTTATTAATAGTATTTAGAGGTAATAAAATGTAGTACTTGATGGCTCATTCACGTACCATTCAAGATCATAGAATTATGAATCTAAAGTCAAAAGTACGAAGGTTGAAACTCATATTTAAAAATACAAATGCATATTATAAACGTGTGGTAAGAATTTGTTTGTCCAATAGTTATAAAATACTGTAGTGCAGAGAGTTTATGAGATAAGCCTGTTTAGATAGAGGCATAATTTGCAAAATCTTTTAAAATACGTATGAGTTGAGAGCGTAATAAAATGGACTTAGTTTTGTTTCTACTAATATGAAACTCGTGTGTAGTAAAAGTAAATGGAGCGTTTACGTAATTTTCTTAACGATTTCTAAGCTTTTGACGTGTAAATAGATATCATTGTCATTTAATAGAATGTAAAACAGGCTTTTCATTTAAGAGAAAGATTTTATTTTTAATACCTTAAACAGTACTCTAATATTTTCATTTTCTTTACACTATTTATAATTTAAGAACGACTGTACGGATTTTGTTGAAATTTGGTAAGGAGATAGCTTAGAATTAAGAGACTGACATATAAAACTTTTAAAACCGTTTGGAAATTTAAAAAAAAAAACAATAAAATCCAAAGTCTGCTTATTTGTAGTCTTTAAAGTCACGGAAAATAACTGGTAGGATAAAATAAATACAAATAAATATTTTAATAAATAAATATAAGATAAATACAAATAAATATTTTTCTGACTTGTATAGAGTGGATTTATAGATTTGGAAACTGTCACTTTCTGTTATTTTATCCATTTTTTAAAGCTACATAAAATAGACAACAGGCTTTTCGAAAAAAATTCACAACAAGTGAATTAACAGTGACATCCGAAGCTTTTATAAAACATATTGTTAAAGAATGTGAGAAATAGATGATTAATATCTATATAGAAAAATACTGAAAATAAAATTCATAAATTTAACCAATTATATTTATTTCCGATCAAATAATACCGGTTACTCGGGACAACTATCTAATATCGATGTTTTTACAACATACAAAATATCAACTAAAAGCATGAAAAAGAGATTGTATTATTATATTCAATAATGTTGAATGTATGTCTATTATTTGATTATTGTTTATTTCGGTTTATATTTGTTTATATATATATTATGCCTTAGATAAATATGTGGGCCGCATAAAATTTTATTGCAACCAAGAATAATGTTAATAAATGTGCTATGGTAATCCTAATTCATTCGTAGTATCTTGCTTATGGGTCATATTTTTATTAGTTATATTACGCATGTGGCTACCAGGGACTTCATATATAAATACAATGGTGACTACAACAAATAGTCTCATTAAATAGATGTATTATTAGCAATCCCACATCCACAATATTATTGACAAAATAAACGAACTTATTGTTAGCATGGCAGCCCAAAAATATTAGCCAAACTTTATGTAGGTCCATTAAATATATACTGGCTTTGTTCATGCACAAATTAAATATGTTTGACTCTATTATGTGTCATGTTGTTTTAATACAACGTAAATAAATGATGAAATAAATGCAGCCATATTAAAAAAAATTGTTGCTCATTCGTTTTTTAAATTTACAGTTTCGGTAGTTTTACGTGATTGACCAACAATTACACATAGGCAAAAAGGTATTTCTATTTATAAATACAACATGTATTATTCTTTTTAACTGACCTGAACATGAAAATTATAATTTTTTATCAGCTATTGGTCCACAGATCCTTCAATAAAAAAAAGGTTTTCTTTGGTTAGAGCTTTAGTTGCATTAAAAAATATGTAATAATTGAATTATATTTGCTGAAATCGTACGTTTCCCCGTTAATTGGCATTCCACTGAAGATGCTCTAGTGAGAAAAGACAGACTACTTACTACTTATACAGGGCTTCTTATAGACTCCATATAATGTATAAAAGAAAAAGTTTTTAAGTTTTAAATTAACTTAATAATAGGTTTTCAGTTATAGTTGTGGTTCTGTAGATGACCAATAATACACACATAATTTATTACATTTCTATGGTATGCACTAAAATTCCTCATAATTCATAAAATACTTAATTCTGAGGTTTTATTTTCAGTCGTCAGAACGATTTACTATATAATACTACCATATGAATTGGCTTAACTAAGGATTTATATCAGTAGAAAGCAATCATGAATATTTTAAAACTCTTGTCTGTTTATTTCAAATCGAGAAGGATTACGTACACTCGCTATATATAAAATCGTAATTCAATAAACTATTACATATAATTAATAAAATACAAAATGACTAATAAATTGTACAGATTACTAATTTTAGAGTTTGCGATGTTTTAGTAATGTCTCTTATCTTGTTGCAATGACTACGCTTATTTGTGTTAAATAAATATTTATTACTCATAGGCCTTTAACATGGAAATCATGAATAAATATCTTTTTGTAATGTGTCTTACAGAGTGATATGAAATTAATGCAGAAAAAAGAATACCAAAGAAGTACGAAAATGTGCTTTATAAATCTAAAATGTGTTAGTTCTTAAAATTTTTGACAGCAAGGTTCAGCATTCAGTCCTAAGTATTTGAAAGCTTTTAGTTTTAATATAAGTTTTTAAACGCATCTTAAGCCGTAAATCTTGCGTTTTGTGAATTGCCAATCAAATAATGTTTTCATGTGAGGTGAGTTGTGTATTTTATTATTTATTAGAATATAACTAAATATCATGCATAATAGAAGTGCAAAGTTATTAATACTTTTGCCACCAGCCAATAACAGTTGGTGATAAATAAAACAGAAAATGATGTCACGTCGTGGTTTAATATATATTTATACAACACACACATACATAGAATTATAAAGTTTTCTTTATCCACATATATATAATCTAGAGGAAACCATTACTTTTTTGGCGTATTTTTTACGTCATTGATTCTCGTTTATAGGAGAAACCATTATATAGACGAAGAAATAATAAAAAGGAAAACAACACGCAAATTGTTTTGTCGTCTTTAGAACACGAAAATGGTTTTGAAATTTCGAAAATAAAAATATTATGAAATATACAAACGAGCCAAATTGGGGAATTGCGATAATCCTGTTTAAAATAAATTTAAATCATTTTATGTGGTTACTAATGAATCGCACTGTGATCGCAAACTTCTTGATTTTAGACCGATTCGAGACCGACTTCTTGATTTTATAGAGACGAGAGTATTGGCCAGACCAACTCCAAAAATAGTCGCAGATATAAGGAATGCTAATTTTAAATTTTTGTAGGCAATTACCTTAGCTACAACGTAAAGTCACAATAATAAGGGTTTTTGGAATTAAATAGAACTAGGACGTTTGTTATTTTGTACACAGGTACTTGCACGTTAACGAGATTCATCAGATCGAACCAGAAACCTTTTCCAACCTTCCCCGATTAGGGCGACTGTGAGTATTTATAACTAAATTTAATTTTACAATTTGTTTAAGAGTATCATACAGCAGATACATTGTTTCCATTCTTTCTATTTGTTTTTTTTTTTGTAGGTACCTTCATAACAATAACTTGAAAACGATACCCCCTGGTTCATTCCGGGGTATGCCGAAACTGAGCAAACTGCGATTAGACAGTAATGCTTTGGTTTGTGATTGTAATATGTTATGGTTTGCTCGAATGCTCGCTGAACATCGTAATATTACTATTGCTGCAACTTGCTATGAACCTGCGAAAGCCACTGGAACATCTTTAGCAGCAATGCAGGAAAAAGATTTCCACTGTCGTAAGTTTTAACACAATATCTCTTTAAAATTCTTTACGAAAGAAGAGTGTTAATATATTAAACATTTTTTGATCATTAAAGGGCAACCGGAGATTATGTCTGATCCTGAGGATGTGGTTGTTAATTTTGGAGATGAGGCTATTTTCACCTGTATGGCTAGTGGCGAACCAGCACCTGAAATAGTGTGGTTCCGTGACTCAGCCGCTTTACCTGACGATACAAGCAGATACGAAATTATGGATAATGGAACTCTTATGGTTCATCATGCTGATGAAAATGATATTGGAGTTTTTGAATGTTCGGCCAAAAATCCTGCTGGTGAAGCGCGGTCTAAGCCAGCCAGAATGATGTTACAAACTAAACCCGATAATAACGGTGCGATTACTAACACTTTTCATAATTTTACAATTCTAAACAAAGTACTGAACTATTTTTATTTAATTTATTTTAGCCTTTCCTGTTTTTACGATCTTGCCCCGCAAAAGTGTGGTTAATATTAATCAACCCTACGCACGTTTCGATTGTGTGGCAAAAGGAAATCCAAAACCTCATATTTCTTGGTATTTTAATGGAGAGCGCATATTGTTAACTGATCGAATAACTATGCATCACAATGGGTCGATAGTTATTGAAAATATAAAATACGAAGATACAGGATCTTACACATGCCAAGCAGAAAATATCAACGGGAAAATAACGGCTTCTGTTACTTTAGAAGTTATGGGTAAGGAAGTTTATTAGTTACAATACATTTTAACTAAGCTAATATCGTAAATTCACTTGAGATGCAATAATTACATTTTATTTCAGTGGCGCCTGCATTTATCGTAGTTCCAAAAGACCAAACTGTAACGATTGGTGACTCAGCACATTTTCGATGCACAGCTAGAGGAACTCCGAAGCCTGTTATAAAATGGTACAGAAACACTATGTCTTTGCCACCGAGTGAAAATATCGTTTTTAGCGATGACGATCAAGATTTGACAATAGTAGAAACTTCTGAAGATGATGCAGGATTATATCATTGCAGAGCAGAAAATTCCGAAGGTCTCACGGAAATATCTGCCGTTTTGAAAATAGAAAGTTTTCAAATAGTTCCACCAAAAATTACCTTAAAACCAGAAGATACAGATGCATTTAAGGAAACAACAGTCCAGTTGCCTTGTGAATATGAAAGTGATCCGCCAGCACTTGTAGAATGGAGAAAGGATGGAAGCCGTATTATAAATAATGACAGAATTAGTATATCTTTAATTGGTAGTTTGATTATTAACAACGTTTCCATAACCGATACTGGAAGTTACGAATGCTCTGTTCACAACGAACATGGACGCGATACGGCTTCGGCATTTCTTACGGTGAAGGATCACATTTTACCTGGCGATGAATATGTAAATATAGCTATAACTGAAGCTATAAGAGATGTCGATCAAGCAATAGCAAAAAGTATAGAAAGTATGTTTTACAACAAAAGTTCCAACGTTAGTTTTCAAGATCTGTATAGGATTACGAGATTCCCAAATGCCCCAGCTAGAGAAGTTGCTCGCGCAGCTGAAATATATGAGAGAACATTAGATAAAGTAAAAGGATTTATAGAATCTGGTATGAAAATAACATCGGTACAACCATTTAATTATGAAAATATATTATCTGCACAACATTTAGAAATCATAGCTAGACTCTCTGGTTGCGTAGCACACCGTGAAGCAAAAGACTGTTCTGACATGTGTTTCCATAAAAAATACCGAAGTATTGATGGCAGTTGTAATAATTTTGCTCAACCAACATGGGGTACATCGCTCACTGCATTTCGACGCATTCTCTTTCCTATTTACGAAAATGGATTTAGTGAACCACCAGGTTGGAACAAGAAAGTAAAATATAATGGTTATACATTACCGAGTGCCCGTTTAGTCTCTACCACTATTATCAGTACCACGGAAATTTCTGAGGATGTTCAGATTACTCATATGACAATGCAATGGGGTCAATGGTTAGATCATGACTTGGATCACGCTTTGCCATCTGTAAGTTCTCAAACGTGGGATGGCGTTGATTGTAAAAAAACATGTGAATACGCGGCTCCTTGTTTTCCTATCGATGTCCCTAAAAATGACCCTCGAATAACCAACCGCCGATGCATTGATTTTATTCGAACTAGCGCTGTATGTGGATCGGGTATGACTTCCGTTCTATTTGGAAGACTGCAGCCCAGAGAACAAATAAATCAACTCACATCTTACATTGATGCCTCTCAAGTATATGGTTTTGAGAAATCTGTAGCTGAGGATCTCCGTGACTTGACAAACACTAACGGTACTCTCCGAGTAGGAGCTAAGTTCCCGGGAAAGAAACCGTTACTACCAACAACAGGTTTAAATGGTATGGACTGCAGACGTAATCTTGCAGAAAGCAATCGTAATTGTTTTGTTGCTGGTGATATAAGAGCAAATGAACAGATTGGTTTAGCTGCTATGCATACTATCTGGATGAGAGAGCATAACCGTATCGCAACAGAACTAAAAGCCATAAATCCATTCTGGGACGGGGATAAATTATACCAAGAAGCGAGAAAAATTGTCGGAGCTCAAATGCAAGTCATAACTTACGAACAGTGGCTGCCTCTCATTCTTGGTCCAGAGGGATACGAACAGCTGGGCAAATACAAGGAATACGACCCTAATCTAAACCCTTCAGTCTCTAACGTGTTCGCCACTGCTGCTCTTCGATTTGGACACTCTATCATTAACCCACTTCTACATCGTTATGACGAGAACTTTGAGACTATCCCTCAGGGTCATTTACTATTGCGTCATGCATTTTTCTCCCCGTGGAGACTAGTCGATGAGGGTGGAGTTGATCCGCTATTTAGAGGAATGTTCACGACGCCTGCTAAACTGAAGACACCAACACAGAATTTAAACTCTGAACTCACGGAAAAACTATTCCATACTGCACATGCAGTGGCTCTTGACTTAGCTGCAATAAATATTCAACGAGGACGTGACCACGCTATTCCACCATACACTAAATGGCGACAATTTTGTAATATGACCGAGGTTAATGATTTTGATGACTTGGCCAATGAGATCACTGACAAAACCGTACGAGACAAACTAAAAGACCTATATGGCTCTGTGCACAATATCGATGTTTGGGTTGGTGGCATTTTAGAAGATCAAGTTGAGGGAGGTAAAATAGGACCTCTATTCCGTTGCTTACTTATTGAACAGTTTCAACGCTTACGTCATGGTGATCGTTTGTGGTATGAAAATCCGTCGACATTCTCAAGAGACCAATTACGACAAATCAAAAACGCAAACTTTGCAAGAGTTTTATGTGATAATGGTGACAATATTGATACAATAAGTGAGAACGTGTTCTTGCTACCTGAATTACAGGGCGGTCTTGTATCTTGCGAGGATGTCCCTAAGATCGATCTACGTTTCTGGGCCGACTGTGAATCATGCGGTGATGATGGTTATGAAACTGAATCAAATAGAGTGCGCAGAGATGTAATGTCCAGTGCCGATCTTTACACTGAACTGACAGAAAATGATCACCGTCTGAACACCCTAGAAGATTCTCATGAGGAATTGATGAAAGCAATTAATAAGCTTAAAAAGAAGGTCAAAGAGTTAGAGAAAGCATGCAATAAGTAAATCTCCAAATAATGACTACGATAAAATGGCAAAAAAAAATAGTTTATGAAATAACATTCCCTTTTCCCTTCCCTTTTAATATATCCCCTTTAATATATGTATCTTATCTATGTTTAAATAAAAAGAAAATACAAAAAAAATAAAAAAAGTACCTATAAAAATAAAAAACAAAAAAAAAACGTGTAATTTCAATCTCTACGTGTCAAAAAATAAAAAACTAAAAAAAGTGTACAATAGATAAAGAAGTAAAAAATTGTAAAAATTAAAAAAGAAAAAAATATCAAAAAAAGCTCCCCATCAAGATTTAATTTTAAGTATCCTCTCTGTGGTCCAACTAAATAAGAATTTATTTCAAATCCAAAAATATTTTTATTAATACATTTTATAAACATAAGTTATTTATTACCTAATTAGTATACTTTTTAATTTATTTTGCTGGATTTATATTATTATATTTATACAGTTGTTATTACATTGTGCTTATTAGCGTCTTAGCTTCTCTATTTAAAGTAAGTCATATATTACATAATAATATGTCGTATACTTATATCACAATTATCGATGTTGAGTGTCTGTAATCCATATTCAAATAGTAGTGTTAATACATAAAGATACTGATAGTTTAAGGGAATAATATCTCAAACTTTATTTTTAATTTCGTTACATTTTTCTAAATATATATTCTGCCTTTGTTGATATGTTTAATGTGCCATTTTATCTAAGTTTATATTTTAACTTTTCTGACAGTATTAACTTTATTATAATTTGAATAAGTTAGGTATTTGTCAAATATGGTCATAAGAATTTTCATGTAGCGAGAAAGGTCAAGATCCGTCCTAAATTGAAGTTTACGGGGTCAGCGACACGAATTAAGAATGTATTTTTCGAGTGTGGAAGCTATACGAATGCTTAAATTTATGCGATTATGAATTGCACTAACTACTACATTAGGTTAATATAGGCGTATATTAAGATTTATTTGGCTTTCATAATACCCAAGATGTCGAGAAAATCAATTGAAACTTGCATTTAATTGGCTACCGCAGTGTGTAATAGGGATGACAGAAAAAAATCATAAGTTGCTAGAGTTATATTCATAATACCATGCAGGCTGATCATGTTACAATTTAGATACATTTTTAGAAAAAAAATAGGTACTTGGTACACACTGCACTCAATATCTTGTTAGGATTTGAAATATCTAAAAAACTAGGACTCAATATTCTTTGAACTTGTTCAAGAATTTTAAAAACTTCTGCGCAATTTCATTCTTTTCAAAGACTTAAGCTGTGAAAAGCGTTTGGACAGAAATCTTATTGACCAAAGTTTCAATACATACTTAAGATGTGATTATTATTATTATATTCTAAGTGTCTTTTATTACTGCAGTAAACTTATTAGATTTTAAATGTTATCTTGATGTTTAGAATATATTAATGTGTATTGTATAATATAATAGTGTATTGTAACATCTTTATGAAGTGCTATAAATATCTGGTTTTAAAACCTAATCATGAGCACACTATGCTTAGCACAAGTTACGTCACTATAATAGTGTGCGTAGATTTGTAACCGAAACTGTAAAAACTACGTATCTAGTGTGGCGAAGCAAACTTGGGGTAAGGATACAGTACGTCAAAAATAACAAGCGTGAAATTTTAACACCTTTCCTAAATCATTTCGGATGTGAAAAAAGTACATACTGAGTACTTACGAGCCTTTTACTAACTGAAGGCCAATGTGAAAAAGTAATCAAGAATATTGTTGTAATCATCTCGTATGGGCCGTAATTTATGGTATAATAAATAAGTTACTAAAATGCATTGTATAACCCGCCCACTGAAATAAACAAGAGCTCAGCAGACATTGACCAACCGACATCTCCGGACACCAAATCTGATCACAACGAATAACTAAACGCCATTTGTGGAAGTGAACTAAGCACATCGTTGTATGTATGAAAATATCTTTAAAAGTTGTGATCAAAAATATTGGTTTGGTAATGATATTCGTTCCGAGATGTGCTTGTGGGCGTTGGTGTTGCATATAAAGGTTAAGTCTTAGATGTAAACGGTAGTTTGAAATGTACTACAGATTATGAACGGTCTCTGTCATGCACGCGAAATAAAATACTACTAAGTATATACAATGACTAATCTATCAACAAAAAACACAAAACTAATTTAAAAAATTACTATACCATTATAAGAATCTATAAACAAGAATAGAAGAAGTATGAGAATATATTAAGCATTGAAGAAAAATAAATCTAAAATCACTTAAAGAACAGAAAGTTATTGAAATAAATTTGTAAAATATTCATAGAAAAAACTGTGTAGTACATTCCAAATTAACTAATATTAGAATAGAAAATAAGTAGGTATACTAAATGTTGAACAAAATGTATTTCCAAGTTTATTAAGTTCAGTTCCATCTTAGCTAAATGCTTAGTGGTTACCGAAATTTGAAAATTAAAACCAACGGCCTATTCTACAAATACCCTCGCAACTCTATTTAAGAACGGGCGCTTATAAACTTAAAATAACCTAACGTTACTTAACGTAATATAATAATAATATTGAAATATTTTAACCTCATCAATCATCATGTAATAAAAAGTACATATCATTGTGCCAAAACTTTACAGTCTTCAATAACTAACTTTACGAAAGCTAGCTAAAGTCGGTAGTGAGACTTTTATTCGCTTTGGAGAGGGGCTTCACTTTTATAAAACACAGGCACCGACTATGTAGGTACGTACTGTGTTGATACATATAAAGTTACTTTCCCGGTGCGAAGTAAACTCACCGTCACCTATAAGCTGAACGCACCTGAATATGAACAAACAGAAAAAGGCCCTTAATGTAATTATTACAGCTTATGTTTGTAGACAAGCTGTATGATATAAATTTCACCTATCCTTTTCATCAGAATGTCTTAAATCAAATAGGAGTGCGTTTTAAATTTTATAATAGCTGATGGTATCTTGAACCCAGGTCTTCTAGGGGGGTCTTCAAATTAATAGTTACATTTTAAAATTATGTGAGTTACAGCCTGTATTTTTGTTACATACTGAAATGTTATTTTTTTTGTCAATAGCACTTACCTACCTTAATTCAATAGGTTTCTTCAGTAATATGTATTGTAATTTTCTTTACATTCTTACTCTTGTCTATGTACCTACTGCTATTGAAAATTATCTTTCTTCCATCCCCCAGGTCATATTCAGTAATATACTTGGAAATGCATGTTGTTAATATATGATTTGCAGTCATTTATATTTGTTCCATGCTTTGGTTACAGAATAACTTTACTATAATTTAAAAGAATATTTTCATTGTATTTTATTTTCATTACATTGTAATTAGAATATGGATATACTATGGTAGTTCATTGAAATCAAAAGGAATTCATATTGAGATGTCAACATTGGATGAAACAAACTGTTAATAAATTCCAATCATCAAAAATGTAATAACTTTTCAAAATCAATTTGAGCCACTGTAATCAACATAAAAGTAATAAATTCTAAAAACTTCTCATATGTTGTACTATTATAAGAATTTTCATTAAAACAGTAAGATTAATAAACAAATGTTATTAGAATATTGTAAACAAGTTACAAATAGGTCTAACTCTGTACTTACATAGTGTATCCATTGGTCTGGTTAAGGAGTGTCAATGCAAAAACCAAACTGAGAACAAGGTTATAAAATCAACAATTGATAAATTTTCATCTATGCCATATAAAGGAGGATGCTAACAAAGGTCCAATTGTTAGTAGAGCCTTCTGTATAGTGAAATGTTTGTCAATATTACTATTAAACCATCAAGATCCCGCTCGAGTTTGGTTTTTGTTAATAATGAAGAGTTATACTTTCATGTGTGCTTAAAAAAAATAAATGAAAAAATACAATCAAGTATTTTATTTATTTTAACATGTTTATATTCTTACACAATTAATTTATATGAATATGAATTATGGCAGTTCAGAAACCTTAAGAGTTCATTAAAATTAAATTAAAATGCCATTAACGATACAATGATTTATTAAACTTATTTAAATAATTGCTACCACTATATACACTACACTATATCTTATATGATACATGATGTCTAAATGTTTCAAACTCCTACATATTTGGTATGGCGTCCAGTGGCTAAAACTTGATTTTTATCTTTATTTCTGACTTCTACTTCCAGGAATGCTACCTTCTTGCCCAACTTCCTTGTTATTGCTTCAACTTCAACATTGTCTCCTTCTCTTGCGGCGTTCATGTAACTGTGAAATAAATGTTTATAAAAATTAATAAATATATTATATATAATTTTTATAACAAAAAAGTAATGCAATATCAAATAAAATACTAAAATGAAGTATAATTATAAAGTGTTAAATGTAAAAATCTGAGATCAAACATATTGAAAATATAAGTGAGACATACAGAACAGCTAAAATTACCTAATGCTGAGATCTATTGAAACCCCTCTAGTTTCAACACCTTCATTGGCAGTTAAAGCATATGTAGATATGGCATCTACTAAATGAGCTATAAAACCTCCGTGAAGAGTACCTCTTTGGTTTAAATGTTCTGGACCAACTTTAAATTCCGTCACCAGTCTTCCACTATCACAGCACACAACCTTCAACTGAGTAATGCACAAAAATATAATAAGAGTTATATACTAATTTTATTCATGTTTAAAATATTGCAGTGTACTACTGAGTATAGACTCGATTTATTAGTATCAGTTTGTAAAGGCAAAACATCTAGGACCTACTTTTTTTAGGTTATGGTCAAAACATTTTGTACTCGCGATTGTTTTAGCAAAAAGCTCGCCAACTTTTGCAGCTTTGCTTGTCATTATGAATTACATTAATCGAACAAATACAGTTTTCTTCTATTATAATCACTTTTGTTGTGAATCTTTACATAAGACTTTTTTCGTGACATTTGACATTGAAACTTCAAGTATACCTAAACAGAAATGAAAAACAAACCGACGTAAGCTTGATCTTTAAGCACAGATAATATCCGGCATGAAATATTTGAAATACAAATGTTTTGATGAATTCAGAAAAACTTAATTAAAAAATATATCAGCTTATAAAGTATTTGTTATTTAAAACAAGTTATATTTTCTTTTAGAGAAAAGATTTAAAGTAAATAGTATGAAGTCGCCTTTCAGCAAATAATGTTGACAGCAAATCAAAGAGAAATTTAAATAAAACTGAACTGAAAAAGGTTTCCAGCACTGACATTCGTCATACATTTTAAATACGAAGTAAAAAATTTAATCCTTTTTTCACAATGTGTCATGGCTTACGTTTTTAGATTTTTTAAATTTTCAATTGTGTGTGGGTAAAATAGAGAATTAATAAAGATACTCTAAGATAATAATATTTTACTTTATTGCGTGTAACAAAATTGATAAGATAAAAATAAATCTTCAGTGTCAGACATATTTTTGAAGAATAGTACAGTGACATTTACCTTAAACTATACATATATGATATATACAAATGAAATAATATAATAATAATCTTTTTTGAACGAACACTCTTACATTAACAATTTCAAAAAGCATATTTGCTACAAATGTATAATCTTGACAGCCTTTTCATGTCCTTATATATGGCCTTATCATGGCCTTATATCCTGTAGTTTACATAGATATAACGACTTCTAACACATGCATCTAAATTGATATAATATATGATTCGCAATAAATCTTATACATAATAAACAAATATCATATAACCTAGGGTCATCGGTGTTTTAGCAACACTTGATATTAGTGACCTGTTACCTAACCTTTTTGACTTAACAACTTCAATATGTAGAGAATGTTAATAATGGCAATGAAAGTAAAAAACAATGTGTAAAAGGAAGAAGACTTGCAAGGAATTTTGAAAGCTTTGTTAAAGCTAAGAGAATGATTGTGAGAATGATGAAGAAACTCGTACTTATAGTTCTTTTAAGTAATATCTACTTAGTTGAAAATTTTAATAAGATAGAGTGAAGAAGGGAAAAGATGTTAATATTCCTATAGTTCGGATTGGTAGTCATTTGAAGTTTCTGCGAAGGTATATAGTATCTACAACAACTATGCTCTTATTTACAAAATCCAAAAACTAAGATAATGCAAATGATAGGCCATCTAGTTTCGTAAATTGTTCCTCTTTAATGTCCTAATACCTAACAGAATAAATAAGGGCCAGTTTATATTGATTTTGAGGCTGAATATTTAGCAAACCAACAATACTCTAAAGATCAATGAGATCGGACACGTTAGCGGCAATATCATTCTAGTAATTGTGAAACCAGACAATAAGTTATGGATGTTAGGGAATATGAGCAATATTGCAAGCAAGATACTAAATTCCCTGTTATTAAACCCGTAGCTGAAATGAAACAGTGTTTGTGGCGTAACCTGACGGTTTTTCATGAATTGCCTGATGTCTCCAGTAATTTCAATCAGAGTAGGAGTTGTACTGTGACGAGATCGAAATAATAGATTGTGCTTGGATAGGAAATTTTTTAATTTTGACTCAACATGACGCTTTTTTTGGTTAAGTAAAAAAAACAGATATTGTCTGGAAGTCAGGAGGATAATACAAGTTACTTTTTAGGGAGTGGAATGTTGTAGACTTTTGCCACCAGGAGTGAATTTAACATAAAGTAATTGTATTATTAAAAATAAAGGGATAGAAAGGAACAACAGAGGGAAGAGGAGTTTTAAAGAGAGAAATGTTAGCAATATACCAGTTCATTTAACTGGTTGAATGGATGATTTTATGAGGATTTTGAATGAAAAACCTTGTGAATGACTATCAGTGAATAGTTTCGAGATCTATTTATAATGAAATATGTAGAATTTTTTCTCAGCTCACGTACATACCGTGAATTCGTATCTATATATTTGCATAAGCAAGTACAACATGCTAAAAAACAAATTGCTTTTGTCTCATTAGCCGGGTAAAAAGTATATTGAAAATACATATGCGCTGATAGGCTGATAGTATGTTTTTTTTCTAATGTTTAAGAAAAAAATCCGAAACTTTTAACCAATGCTGTGCTTTAAGAATTTCAAAACACTTATAGATAAGGTACCATCTATTTTTAGGCAGTAACTCTTTCATTTAGTGATTTACTTCAGTATATTATTTGCTTAAGCTATTAAACGACAATAATAAAATTACGGTAAATTATCAGCTACAAATAACAGAGTTAATTAATTTGCAATAATTGCAAACTTTCAATCACAAATATCTTAGAGTATCTAAATATTCTAACATTAAAACTTTTGGTAGCAATTTTTTTATTTACTTTTAGTAGTTTTAGATGTTTTCTATTATTAATTATTATAATTGTTGTTATGGAGAGTCCTGTATATTTATAATTAAATATGTTAAAATCTTATGTCGCATTAAGTGTTTAATCGTATAGTATTTATGTATTTATACATTTTCATTATTTGACATCAAGGATAAGGATAAATGAATAATCCGTTACAATTTAAAATAAATAATTATATTCTCCACACACTATATCAGGTTTAAAGGCACCACTTATATTACATTGCTTTTAAACCAAAAGAATGAATAAAACATTGTAAGCTTTTTCAACAACAATACCGTCTTGCATATGCCTACTTTGCCCTTGCAACTACGTTTAGGCATTTATAATTATTCCACTCTGGGAGTTGCAAATTGCAATACCTAGATTTTTTTAATGAATTTAGGGACACTTTATGCTCTTAATGGCAATACATGTTTATAGAAATATTCTTAATAGCCTAGAAATTATAATGGCAAAAGAATTAACTATATTTTGTAATAATTAACGCTACCACCTTATTATTGACATTGTCATTTTCACTCAGTGAGAAATTTAATGATATTGGTGAAATCTATGAGGAAAAGCCAATAAGTAAACGAGGGAGAGAAGTTTAATAATTAATAATTATCAGTAGAAAATCTCATATGCGAATGCTCATTATATTTACGACTCCTGTAAATAAAGCAGCAAATAATATTTCCCGAAGCGTTATTGCAAATATTTAATTTCAGGCACCATTTACATTTTTCGGCTTTATAAAGCTTATGTTTTTGGTTATATTAACTCGTCTCCGTGTTTATTTTAAATATGTAATGTTTTCCATTAAAATATTCTATGCTGGAATAAATTGCATATTTTTGTTATTTTTTTTTTATGACACTTTTAAATAATTTTATGCATACTTGCACTATTTTCCAAGATTAATTACAGAAAAATCTATCTAAAAAGCTTTGCAAAATTAGTGGTCGAAGTCTGTTCAGGTTTAATATATTTACACTAACAGCGTGACATCAATTGCAATCTAAAAAAAAGAAATTTCAATGTAAATAAAAATTTACAAACGAATATTACAAAAATCATTTACTCTTTGAAGTTGATTAATAAAAAAATATAATAACTATTTTTTTTTCTCTGAATGTGCTCGCCGTTCAAGCTTGCATAAACAGCATTTGGTGGAAATAAAATTGATTGAGTAAATAATTGAACTGCGTAGATAAAATGAATTTTTATGCAGTCGGGTTTATATTGAAAATTCTTAGTAGAATTTTATTTATAAAATAAGCAATGGTTGGGTTTATATGTATTTTATATACGTTACCTTAGATATTAACTTTATTGCAACTAAGAACTAGTTGTTCTTTTTCTGCAACATTAGTTTCTGTAGTTTATGTAGATTATTTTTTTTTTGCCCTTGCTATAAATATTAGTTAAGAAATATTACTAGCCTGTCTATTCTGTTCGTCATCGTCATCAGCCTATCATCCCACTGCCGAGCAAAGGCCTCTTTCTCACATGGAGAAGCATTGATCACCACGCTAGCTCAAGACGGGTTGGTGATTTAAAACTTGTAATTGTGAAATTATACCTCACGATGATTTCCCTTTACCGACTGTCAGTGGTGTCTAAATACTCTTAGAAAGTATGTATGACTCGGAAAAATCAGATTGATACTTGCCAGGATCGAACCGCTAGGAACGAACCCGCGCCCTCGGGCATGAGAGACGGGCCCTTTAACCACTAGGCCCATACTGACTGTCTATTCTTTTACTGTCTAGTAATAGCTCAGAAGATTGATATTTAATATTTTGTATTATAAAAAAAGGAATTGTCTGAAGCTTTCTTTTTAATTTAGAAAGAAAACATTTGAGAATAGTTATGGTGGGATTTTAATTGAATTCCTTTATGGCTTATTAACAAAGTAATATACATAGGTTATAGAGTATAGGAAATAAACCTATATATAAAGGTATATAATGCATTATAAGTATAAGAACGAGATATTATATCAGTTTTTAAGGAGTTCGCACTTTCAACACTACATATTAAATGAATAAAATAAACTCTCTCCCTAACAAATCTTTTTATATGAGAGTCTAATTACCAGCTATATTTCATAAAAAAATATATATATTTGAAAACAATTCTTACTTTTACTAATTCTGTACTGTAACAGTGTAACAGCAATGTTTCTACTCCTAATATTACATTAGTTAATCTTTATGATAATAGATGACGTTACTTGTATTCTAAATCACGCTAACGTTATAGCTTTGTATAGTGAATAAATAACCCAGAAAATAATAGTTTTGTATACCCCTCTCGGTGACGCTGTCAAAGCCACTAGGGCTAACAGCATATGTCAATTCGAAAAAAAAAAGTTTTGTATCGAGTCACAGGGACCTCGATAGTGGCAAAGATACTGCTTCCACCTGGTTGGGACTGTATTTTGAAAGCTACCGAGGAAAATCACTCTTCTAAGTTCGACTTCCGTTGGCTACTTCCACTGTGTGGGATAGCTCCCTGGTGTCGACGTTAGAGGCCTAGCCGTCTTATTGTAAACCAACCTTCACGTCAAAGCCCTCTGTATTACAGTACATAATATATATGAAATTTACTGTTTTTTTACTTACCTCGCCCATTAGGCTGTTGGTGTCAATTTTATTAATTTACATATGTATACCTGTATATTGTCCGCGGCACTATAAATTTATAATGATATGGTTAACAGCCTACTCAGTCTATGTGGTTGAAATTCGGCATTCAAATTATTCTAGACTTACTTCTAACTGTTAAAATTACGATTGGGCACACGTCAATATATGTTTAGATTCACACAAAAAAATTATAACAAGTAAAGGATAAAAAGGTAACTAAACAGGTATAAATAAAGAAATCTTTAAGTAAATTATTGTTAAATGCTTTAAATAGATTCCGTTTGAACTTTAGGTTAAATCAATGTTTAATTTGAATTTAATATCAGACGTTGCAGAATCATCGCAAAGGAAGGCTGTGTTTAAGAAAATTAAGACCAAAGTTTCAGATCTGAAACATAAGTAGTTTAAAATACTGTGGACTTTTTAAAATTGTTTGATTATATCTCTAACAGATATTAGCTATGACTTCTTTAATCACTTAATTCACCTGGAGCTTGAATTAAATTAAATTTCAGGTAAATGTTATAGAATGTGAACAGTTGGGGTTATGGATAAATTCAGATTCCCGTATAGTAAAACTAAAAAATGACAAAACAATTAAACAAAACCTTATACTTTATTTCATTGGTTTCGCCTTACATACTAAAAACTTATATATTTATTAAAACTTAACAATACACATAAATCAACATAACAAAGCTTCAGTGGGACAAAATTTCTCAAAAAACTCCGTACTACAAGAGCAAATTATAATACCGTTCATAATATTTTTGGCATACCACACAAAAAAAGAAACTTAAAAATTTCGTTTGATTGAACCTGTGATTATAACTCGTTTAATATTTGGTTAATTAATTGGCGATATAAATATGGGGCTAAAGTTAACAAGCATTTCAACGAAGTGACTTAAAAAGGCGCTCTCTCTGGCCACTTTAACGTAATTTATATTCATTATTTTGAGTTACTGTTCGTTAAGTATCATTAAACTCTTCTTAGAAGTTCACCTCCTTTTAAATAGTAGTAATAGCAAACTTAATTATGACACTTCTATGACTCAAAAAAGTATTCAAACCCCAATAGTGTGTACAAAACAATCGCACTGCGCAAGTTTAGGTCTCAATCGAAAGGTTACATACCTACTTATGATTTTGATTTTACTATTTCTTTTTGTTTTTGCTACAGCTGACACTTATTCCACACGATAGGGTTGTAACTTATTTTGAATTGTAATTAAACCAAGTACTATTAATTATTCTATAAATTATTTTGGAAACTGCCACGTTGATTGCCGTGGCTGCTGCTGCTGTTGTTGTTTTTGTTGCTTTTGCTGTAACTGTTGTTGTTGCTGTTGTTTTTGTTGCTGTTGCTGTTGTTGTGGTGCTGGTTGAATAGAAACTGATGTTTGACTAGCAGCTAAACTGTTATCGCTTCTATCTACGTGCTCGTGGTGGTCTGGTGAGGGAAACCACTCTGATATCCATACAGGTCTCCATATCTTTTTGACACCTGGTACCCATATATCTTTCCAATCTGGTACCCAAATTTGTTTCCAGGCTTCTTTCCATTCCAATTTTTTGTCAGGTACCCAAATAAGTTTCTTGGATGGTTTCCAAATTTGTTGCCAAGCCTCTTTCCAGATTAATTTCTTATCGTCGATCCAGATCATATGCTTTTCCATTTTCCATATTTGCTTCCATTCATCTTTCCATACAAGTTTTTTATCCGGAATCCAAATTTGCTTTTTGGCTGGTTTCCAATATTTCTTCCATACCGGTTTCCAAATAAGCTTCTTTTTCCAAAGATCGTGGGATGTATATTCCCATCCATCCTGATCTTTGCCTAAGTATTTTTCACCAGGAACCCCAACCTTAACCCATTCTGGAACAAAAATCTTTTTCCAAGCTGGTACCTGAATGTCTTTCCAGCCCGGTACCACTATATCTTTCCAGACAGGAACGGTAATTTTTTTCCAGTCGGGGACTTTAACTTCTTTCCAAGCTGGTACCTTTATTGGTTTCCATTCTGGTTTATAAATTTTCTTCCAATCAGGAACCTTGATTTCTTTCCAAACTGGTATCTTAGTTGGTACCCATATCGGTTTCCAGATCTTTTTCCATGATGGCTTCCAAATTTGCTTCTTTGCCTTTTTCCATATTTTTTTCCATCCCGGTTTCCAAATCAACTTCTTCTTCCAGTAACCAGGGTCATGATGATCATGATGATCGTGGTGATCATGGTGCTCTTCGATATGATGTTCCTCTGAGTGATGTTCATCATAATGATGTTCATGATGAATGTCGTGATCATGTCCGTGATCACCGGCGCTATGGTCATCAATATTATGATGGTCATATGAGATGTCGTGACCATGATCTTGGTAGGGATTTATTAAATCCTCAGAGGGTGCCGGATAGTCATATCCGCTGCGCTTTTGGACATTTTGTGTCAACTGTTGCTCTGCATGTTGATCTTGTGGAAGTAACGCCTTACCGGTCACAAGAGCGATTTGTAGAATTACCGCTAGGGTAATCTGTAACAAAAGAAACATATGTAAATGTCAAAAAACGTTTTGCATAATTGTAACCAACAGCTTAGCTTAACGGTACGCAAAGCAATATAAATAAAAAACAAAAGAATTCGCAATGCAAAAATCGTTAAAATCAAACAATAAATTTTAAAATAAAATAACAGATACTTTTTTTTTATTTTAACACAATAAAATTAATGTCTTGAATATACACAGGAACACAAACATAAAATATTTTATTACAATGCTGACGACGCACGACCTTTACCGTGTTTCGCATTTATAACAAATAAAAGTTTCACCACTTGGATAAATTATAACATATTATATAATAATAAGTGAATAATAAAATGAAAGTGAGTTTAAATTTGTTATCTATATGACCGGTCCTGCTTACGGCGAAATAGGAAGCAATGACTTACTTCATGGGTGTACCGTTATGGCAAACAGTGAAAGTGGAATGACATTCTTATTATTTCATTACTATTAGGAAACGGTCAAATTTTAGCTCAGATATTCGATTACATAACAGTGTAACGGTCAAAGCACATTCGAATATATGTAAGCATTACTTTAAATTCATCTCATCTTCCTACTTATAAAACGTATATTTATACATTAATAAAATCATATAGCATAAAATGAATTGTTTATTCTATACATAAAACTTTCATGAAATTTACATGTAAAAGTAATAAAATTTCTTACATAGTGAAAATATCCCGTGAAAGTAGGTATACTTGTTATTGCATTTTGCACAATGCTAATAAAACGTGTGTAAGTTATTGCGTAAGCGGAACAAAGTGAATGTGAGGATAGCAAAATATTTTATATTGAGATAATATCAAAAAGAGAACATATATATAAATATTCACAGAACCATAAATATGTATAACACGACCTTTGATATCTGTACTGCGAGTACTTGCACTAGTTTTGATTTTTTTACGAATCAAAATATTCACAAAATAAATGAATACAATAAATCTTCTAGAATTAAAAACCGGATAAATTATGAGTAACTAGCATAAAATTGACCCATAACTAACTAAAAAAAGAAAAAAACTGTCTAACAACATATTTGACAGGTTAAATGTTTAATAATAATAATTAATGAATCTGACTGGTCGTTTAAAAAATTACTTAATTCGCAAGATAATGTAACAACAGTAACATCCGTAATTGGGCAATAACAGTCAACGTCGATTGTTCCTACACATAACATATTAAAATTGCCAAAAGTAGTTCGTGACCCCACACTGGGATCTAAAGAAATCTGCATCACGTAACAAAGAATTCATTACCATATATTTATACTTTTTATGTAGGATATAAGTAAGATATATAAATATCTGTAAATATGTAAAATATAATAATACGATTATTATTATCGACCTTGGTTTTGAAGGAAAGTGCCGTCTCTATTGCGAACAGTAATGGGAATAATACGAGGAAACAATACAAAAGATTCTGGTTTTTTGTGATACTATCTGGAAATGAATTGTTATTGTTAAGAGGAAGCTGTGATTGTCTCATTTAGTTCTAAATACTACTTATGTTATAACTAGAAACACATAAAAAAAATTGTCGCAAAATGACTAACATCGACTTCGATTTTAGAGTTCATTTAATCCATTAAAATAGTTATTAGTTTTATTTGATATTTGTCATATTTAATGAAAGTTTTTCAATATATATTTAATACATGCCGATTATATATTTAATTAAGAATAAAAAATAAGTTAAAATACACAAAAGAATCTTAAGCAAAACGACAATGTTTAGTCTGTAAATATTTGGCAGTAATTATCAGTCACTACCTTGACAAAGCTCTTTAGTTTGGCGGATGCGTCAATATTTGCCGAATTTAGCGACTGCTACCAGTTTTAACAAACGATAAAAAAGGAGTACGTTTGAAATTTTTACATAGAAAATGTTTTAAAGACGTAAAACTTTGTTAGTGGACAAAAATGAGTAATAAATTCGATCATCTGTGTTATCAATTTGGGTACTTAAAATTGTTATATAATATATCAAATATATAAAAAATCACTGACCACAAGGCTCCGGTTCCCTGGCATGGTGGGGCGGGGCCGTTGATGCTGCGGCGACAAAACTCTTTACTGTATTAGTTTCTTGCTTTTGACTTTATATATGCTAGCCCACCCCAAACGTTTGGCGGGGCGTTCACTCTCTCACGTTGGCCCTCAGGAAGCGTGGGAAGCCAAAGGATATTTCTAGACTTATTATATAAATGCTACATCAACTATTAATACTTTTCAACTTATCTAATTCTTGAAATATATCACTGTACATAATAACTATATACAACTATATGATAGTCAACAGAATAAAAGCCTGGTATTAGTTTATCCGTTATTGCGGTTATAATAAAGATAGTACCTACATATAACTTGAATGAACTGCCGAAAATTTTAATGAAATAAATGAGGCTATAAAATGCAGCAATTTCATAAAAATAATATAAAGAGAAAATAAATTAATTTGTCATTCTTTTTAATTCATTATATATCAAGTGCTTTCGAAATAGTGGTTCACTATATCTAAAATAAATACAATATAATTCCATCCAATAGGTGGTAGATCAGTATCTCAAATAAAAGGAGTGCAACTACATACTTTTACTTTATTTTCCAATCTTTTAAAAATCAATAAGTTTAAGGGATCAAATAGTGTAGTGTAGCTCTTATCGGTAATTTAATATCGTCTTCCCATTATTTCGAACGAAATTTAAAGTATATCGGACATAACTAAGTATGTACATAAGTCATTGGTAATGGTTACTTCTTAAGTTCTTACGTAATAACCTTTCAAATAAAAGTAACAACAAGTACTTGAAAATCAATAAACTCTCGATGATTCTCCAAAACGTCAATACTTATTAAAACTTAGAATTCAAATAATTTTGTGTCACATTTTCACCTTTTCTATAAACACATAATATATTATAAGTGTGCATTTGAAAATCTGTGATATTTATATTAATTATTTATTTTATCTATAATATTTTTTTATATGATTTTCATAAGAAAAATTTTAGAAGGATTAAGATTCATACAGAAGTATTGATTACGCGTTAATGTGATATAGGGATGACATTTACGATTGCGGCTTTGGGTCCTAAGTGTCGTCAAATCCAAATCACTCGGGCACTAACAGTCGTAATTAATCCGCAGCTTTCAGTTATACGATAAAAATACACCCATGTTTCCCGTAATAATGAAAACAACGAGTATGTTTAAAAACAAACATGTAAATAACATCAATCAATCGACATACTCGTATGAAAGTTATTAAAAAAAATACGAAGTTTGTTCGTGAAAAGAATAAATGTTACGCAGTTTTCTTTTAATATAACGAAGGTTTAAGCTATAAACATAATCATACACGAGGTTGAAAAAGACACGTAACGTTGTTTTAATAACATCTAAGAATTTATTAGTGCAGCGAAAGTTTGAAACCGGGCCGACCTTCAGTTGAACACAATAATTATCGGCATGTGTCGTTATGTAACTTCTATATATATAGTTCGATAATTTATTACACGTATTATAACGGAATGTAAAAGTATACAAACACATATAAGATAAGAAATAAAAAGTGTTTCCCAAACCTGTTTTCTAAGTAACATTCGGTGGTATAAAAAAACAATTTTGATACCTCTAATAATTACCGACAAACTGAATCAATGATATTTATTTGGGAATATTTGTAAATGCAGGAATTTCAGTATGATATTTAATATGAATAAGTTCAAGCGTAAAATGTCATATCAAAACTATAAAACAAATAAATATATAGCAATAAATATTTTTATATAGACGAGATAAATTTTAATAATTTAACCTTTAATACTAGAATAATATAATAGTATTTTGTTAAACTAAAATGAAAATTATACTTTTCTGTTAAGATAGTTGCTTAATATTAAAATGGATATACATGGACCCAAAGTAAAGTCTGAGTGTTTATTAAATATTCTCCCTTATAATGATAAATACGAAACATATTGCAGACAATAAAATGAAATCTGTATGAGAAATCTGAATATTGTTGGTTGAAACCCTGAGCTCTATTCACACAATACTTTTATTGAACTTCTAAAACAGCAGCATATCTTACAAAACAAGCCAAAAGGATTTATGTAATACTAACTTCCGCCTACAACTTCTCTTCGCATATTAAAATTAAAGACAACAAAACATCTACATCTACAGACTATAAAAGAGGTGTAAACATCGGAAAAATTTCAATAATCTAGAGTAACTATGGTAATCAACAGAAAATAATAATGTCAGTGGGCTAGATACTAGATAGATAGAATAAATAAATATGGATTTCTTCATTTAATAATTATAATTTTATCAATGTTTTTTTTACTTTTTAAACCTACAATGAATTTATTGTAGTTTTTGAAATTTATAGGCGTAAGAAATAAACAATCACATTATTTATGGAATAAATTCAAGTACCTAATTAATTGTACTGATTATTATCTATTAAACTGACAACCATTTCATAAGTCATTATTTAAGTAACTTAAGACTTGATAGCTTGATCGGAAGATTCATTTCATTTCAAAACTAGGAGCTTGCTTCTAAAAAATGTACTGAAACAACATATGAAGATATATCAACCAAAATAATTTATTCTATTTGAATAATTTAATATCTATAATTATAACGAAAAAAAGGAGGAACGCGAAACGCATTTCATAATTAACGGGATTAGTCTTCTTTGCTTTCATTCTATTCTAATAACTCAATTATATTAGATATTTATAACATAATTATGTGGTTTTAATAAAATTAAACTGCAAGCTTTTTATTTTTTATAAACAACAATACAAGTAATAAGAAGTTCTATAAGGAAAATTGAAACTAAATGATAATGATTCTACATAAAATTTCTTTAAACAATGAATGGTCTTTAGAAAAAAAACAATAATTATTGTTGTTCATTAAAACTTTGCTATCCTTAATTCAAAAAAGGATCGCAAA